AGGTCATGGTGAACCTGGAGCTTATCCCAGGAAACTAAGGGCATGTCCTGGATGAGACACTAGTCCGGTACAGGGTGGACACTCAAACACTACGGGCAATTTAAAGACACCCGTTCCATTTACGGACTACATGGACCCCCCAGGGGGAATCAAGCCCACAGTTCTGGAGGCTTTATTTTACGCTGCTCACTGCTGAGCTGTTGTAATGCCTTACACTGTACAGATTATTAATCAAATTATTACATGGAAAATCACTATGAATAAAGTTCATACATTTTCATTAGGTCGGTGTTTCCCAATCCAGTCCTCAGGGACCCCAGACAGTCCACATTTTTGCTCCCTCCCAGCTCCCAACGTTCCTGTAGCAGGTATTCGTTGTTTGATTGGCTGGGAGCTGTGGATTGTTTGCCATTCCCTGCAGACTGGGTTAGGAAACACCGCCTTGCACTAGAGGCCAGTGGAAGCATTTTTGGCATTATGCTTTAAAAACTACTCCACGAATATTAGCGGTAATATAAAGAATCAAAGAATGTAAATATAATTTACTGGATGATTAAATAAATGACAGGAGCAACAGTTGAATAGAATTCTGCAATCTCTAAAATTTGGAAGTCTTTCCACAATTTTGGCCACTAGTGCAGGTGATTCAACACGGCGGTACTTTGGCGGTTTTCGAGCATAGGTGAGCATGGATACATGTACTGTTGTAGATGCCAATGGATACAAAAGCGACAAAGCCTTGGGAATGGGCCTCCGCCCTGTGCATTATGGGAACTCACGGATGGACCATCTCACACGCTACCAGCAGCGTATCCAACCACAGGTGTGGGGAAGATCACATCATTGGCCACAACCTGTAATGTCCATGTCTCCAGAAAGGTGGCGCCCATTCTTTGCCAATCAGGTCTATCCACACTGGTCTTCTGGGCTAATCGGTGCAATTTATGTCAAAACATCATAAGAACATTAGCACAATAGAATAATGCTGGTCCCCCTGCAGCTCTGTCCTTGAAGAGCGGTCCCAGCGGCCTGCTAAAGCCCTGCAAGCAGTTGTGATTACACAGATGCCAGCAGCAGAGGCTAGGTCTCCAAGCTTCAAAATAGGCTCTGCTAAATCCAGTAAACCCAAAGCCACAGCTATGTCCAGTAATAATCTAAACAGAAATGGCTTTAAGGACAGCTGGTGTAGCTTTATGGTGCTATATGTATTAATAAATCCTAGGTGGTTTCCATGCATTTTTTCACATTAAGCTTTAAAATGGGAAACAGCCACAGTAAAGTGTCGGGAAAAGAAATTTGTCCTTTATTTTTTAATAAGAACCTCGGGTCATGGTTTGTTAGCTAGGTGACTAAATGTTGGTTTTCTGGAATGATCCATTAACTCTATCATTGGGCTAGAGTACCTGTAAAAAAAATTGCCACACTATGTGAGATTGCCCCCTGCTGGACAAAAGAAGATTAACTGAACTCTAGGTACCGGTTAATGAGGATTAAGGAAAGAAGAACTACAATTTTCACTCCGTAACAAATTTGTATTATATAGCACGCTGGATACCATTTAAAACAACAATAAGCCTCCATCTTCATCACTTTAGTAATTTTGCTCTACAATTTCCATTAAGGCAAGCTGACTTCCATTGCACTGATATAAGCCCCAAGTTCATTTACTCTGATGTGGTTCTCACACTTTTTCAATAATAAATATAATGTCAAAAACATTCATGTCAGCTTAGCTTGTTTTTATTCAGTGTGTGATTTTAGTAATCCTTAGCAACAACCTAGACCTATCAAATGTCTATTTTAGGCATATCTAATCTAATTCAGAAAATCCACCACAAAAAGAAACATCACAAAAGTTTAATTAGTCATAAAGTCGTTTGTGGTCTCAGTAAACCTCACTTTACTCTGGTGGAGTGGCACGGACCGTCAGTCACAACACTTTTTGCCTGCCAGGTATTTCAGGTGCTCCTACTGCAATTCGTGTATGTAATAGTTCCATTCTCCATGTCCTTAACCCTACCCAGCTCAGAGGACGCTAACACACCCCCAACCCCTGGAAGTTCAACAAAGTTCAATCCTTTCTACACCTCGTTTAACACACCTTACTTTTCCTTAAAAAATAATCTTATTTTATGTTGGTAACAGCGACCCCTTTCGGAAAGACCAATCGTATCCTGTTCTGTCTTTGATATCGTTCATTTCCTCTTTGTTTTAAAGCGTTTTGAACGTTGGGAGAGATTTGGACATTTTATGCTTTTGAAAGCACATTGTAAACCACAACATGGATCATTAAATGAATGGTTGGTACCTTTAACGCAGATAAAGTACCAAAACAAATGTTAAAACAAAAGCATTCTGGAAATAAACTGGTATCAATTTACTTTATTGAACATTATGTGTTTCTAAGGGTAACTTTTTATTTGCTTCCAAAAAATTCGTTGTTTAGCTAATAATTGTTTCCAACCCGATGGCGACGTGTTCTCCGATTACTTTGAGTAAGGTATCCGTTAATCCACCTGGTAGGCTAACTGTTTATTTATCCTGGGCAGGTGTAATCTGGTAATTATGTCCTTGACATTTGTTATGGTAGGAAAACTCGGGAGATAATTCCCTTTACGATATTTATAAATATGTTTATTTGCTCAACTATCCATCCATCTTCCAACCATTTATCCTGAGCAGGTCTGAGGTGGGGGAGCTTGAATCTGTCCCAAGCAGAATTTCGTACAAATCAGGAGTTAAGCCTGGAAGAGATGCCAGTGCTGATTCGCTGACGTTTAATAAAATAAGAAAAATGCAAATTCACGTTCTTCAAATTGCGAAATCTCTTGAGCCTTTTAAGTGCAGCAAGACCCATATCTACACTCGCTAATGTTGTTTTTGGCATGTATAAGTATTTTAAATGGCTCTTTGGAAAATGTAATTTCTGTCAATTGTCATGTTGATTATGATACGTATCATAAAATCGGATGTTCGAATTGATTGCTTTTCACCATCTGCTCGATGACAATACGTATTCGGTTCTACACTGAGTCAAAACTAGTTATTTAAAATGTCATCTTATATCATGTTTATTGCTAGTGTAATACTTCGTCATCCTTCTGAACAGGAAAGGGAAATTGTTCCCATCTAGAACACAAGAGGTCCCCAAAAACGTAAAAATGGAACTAAAACGGAAACGTATGTTTATCTGATATACAAAAAGATCATTTATGGGCGTTCTTATGATGTCACTTTGCTCATTATTCAGCGGTTTTGATGCATATTTAGAACACTTCAGTGTTCACTGATGATCCTGGCCTGGTCCAGGAAGTCATACACTCCTAGTTTTAAAATCCGTTTTTGTTTAAAAGAGATTTATGGTTTCCAGGGCCGTGCCAGAAGTCAAAAAACAGCCGCGTAAAGGGTCCCATCCACTAAGATTCACGTTATTTTAACCGACGGCGACGTGCCCGCGCACCGCTCGCTCCCATCTCCGATGCTGCCAGGTCACAAACTATGAAAATATAAGCCAAACCGCGCTGCGAAAAACCAAATGCTATAGATGCATCCGACAAATAAAGTTGTTTTCCTTCTTTACGGGGGATTCCTGAAATGCTCTGTTTAAAAAAAGGGCCGCTGTAACGTTATATCAATAAAAAAAACACCCGACGGTCTGGAAGCTCCGCAGTACCGCCCCTCCTCAGCACCCCGACGTCGTGAACGCGCTGCACGCCCCGGACGCCTTTACTGACAGTCAGCTGTGCGATCCGAGTCTGTCTACCTGCCTTGTACAAAATTCACCGTTCTGATCTTTTTTTTGGGGGGGGGTCTTCTGATATAACATATAAAATCGTATGTTTTAATCTAGCGGATTACCATAACACTCCAGGAAAATGAACCCGCTGTGTAGCAGATGTAACCGAGTCGTGTACCCGACGGAAAAAGTGAATTGTCTGGATAAGGTAAGGGGAACCTCTTCTTTTTTTTGTTTAACATGTTTTTCTTTGAAATTCATGAGCTATTCTGTTGCTCTCCCGCACACCCGATCGCTTGTAGCTACGCTAGCAGCACAGCGGGCATGCTAAAAGGCGCATTTGAAATACATCTAGATTTGCATCCAGCTTCCGATCCAGGAACTAGCTAATTTCTGGCGGCGGCGTGGAAACTGGCTTTATAATGACCATCGTTAGCGCTGATCGGCTGATCGGCAGCCGGGCTCCCCCCCTCAGCCAGGCCCGTGGCTTGTGCCGTTTTGGTGAACAAGGCGGCCTCCTTTGGGTTTCTGTGCAACCGGATCCTAGGACCCCTTTTTGGGCCAGATCACGCAACCAGTGTGTCCCGGAGTCGCAGGGGGGGAAACCCGCATGGGCAGCCTGCATCTCCACCCTGAAATTCGAACGTCTTAAAAACGTGTTTTAATGAATATATACATTACGCTTGCGCATACAACAATAAGATAGGGTAGATTGCAAGGGGCGTGGGAGTTTCTCCCTTTTCTCTAGGGGAAAAGTTTAGTTTTTCGGCTCTTAAAGGCGCAAAGACGTGCCCAAAGCCGCAGTCGGTGCCCGATCCCCGCCGCAGGATCGCGGGGTTGGGAGCCCAGGCCCGCCAGGCGATAGATGCAGTTTTAACCCCCCCTCCATTTCCGTGTTTTAGATCGCG